CCCCCCCGAGCTCTGCGTTCGAGCTCGAGCCCCACGTGCGAGCGCCTCCACCCAACTCTGCGTTCGAACGCAACCCTGCGTTTGGCGATGGCGTCCTTTGCGTTCGAGCGCTCCCACCTCTGCGTTCGGCCTCGAATTTGGCGTCGAAGCAGTCGCTGGCGACAGGCTGTCGCCAGCCCTCCACCTCCGCCTATAAAAGAGACCCCATGCCCTAGGGTTTAGCTGCTGAAGAACTTCCCCCTCTCCTCCGATTTCTCCTTCTCTGGTGGCGGCGGCTGCCCTAAAATCGCAGAGGCGATTTTTCTCCAGCTCTCAACGCGATTTTGAGAGAGAGAGAGGGGATTTAAAAGGAGAGAGAGAGAGAATTAAAGAGGGTTTAATTGTGGGGTATCATTTATTCTCAAGTTGAGAATTGAAAGGGGTTCATACCCTTTGATTATTAACACTGTAGCTACAGTGTTTATCTGAGAAATCTCAGTTTTGAGATACGCTCCTAAATTGTAATTTCTTGTTTGATTAATAAGAAATTATCTGTGTGGCTCCCGAGGACGTAAGCAGTTGCCGAACCTCGTAAATCTTGGTGTACTGTTCTCTATACCGCGTTTCCGTTGCATTAGGGGATTTAAGCGTTAAATTCCCAACATTTTTTGCACGCATGTATATTATATAGCATTTTTTGTGTGCTTGCATTCAATGTCAAATCAGTAAAAGCAAAATAAGCATGCTGGAAACATATGGGGATAAGAACCATCAGTCTATGTGGTTAAAAGAATTTTCCAATATGACCATTTGATTTGTTATGGCATAGTGGACAGTTAGGGGATTGAAAACACTCAGCCTCGACATGAATGGTTTCAATCACATTAAAATATGTCTCTTTCTTTTTTATAGTTCTGTTTGTTACTATTTAATTTAATACTCTCTCTCCCTCTCTCCCCCTCCCTCCCTCCCTCCCTCCCTGTGCATTGTCGTGGAGAACCCTCATGCTTTTTAGCCTCCTTCTCCCAAATCCTTACCCAAAAACTATGATAGCTCTTCACGAACTCCTATTGATTCCCCAAAGTTCGAAATTGGATGCATTGAGAATGAAGATTCTGGCCCTTCTTCTTTCCCTCGATCTCGGATTACAAGTCTAATATAGTTAAAAATGGGAAAATTGGAAAAATATTGAAAAACAAAACCATGGGCTGTTTCTGGCCCGGCCCAAACCTAGGCAGGCCATGGGCCGAGCTAGATCTAGCCTAAGGCCCGGGATCAGGGAGATAGGCCCGGCCCACTCAGGCCCACCGATGCCTGGTTCAGAATCGGCCCAACCTTAAACTTGTTGAGCCATTTCACGGGGTAGACCTGGCCCGACCCACGCCCAACCTTGTGCAGACAGCTTTGTATCTCTTAATATTAAGCAGCACGTGGTGATATTTATGAGCCCTATGTGTTCTACCCATGATGAATGCTCATACAATACCTTGTGCATGGCACAGTGCTAGAATAAAAGGCCAAAAACTAACATAGAATCACAATAAACCGAATGAAAATACAAACACACCGATAGGTTCAGGCAAGCTGAGCTTTCGTGTAAGGCCATCAATACCAGCAGCAACAATTGAAGCCAGTCCAAAATGTGGATTTGCACATCCATCAAATGACTTGATTTCAAAGTTCGAAGCAGCTTCACCAGATGTACCCGGTGGGCTTGCCGTCCTAATTGGAGCTTCTCTGTTTTCATGTCCCCAACAAAGGTAGGCTCCACTCCAGGTATCTGGTCGGATGCGGTCATAACTACATTAAAAGATCAATTGAGTTACCAAGAAAACATAATCTTATATCTAAACCCATAAAGAGATTCACTAAGAAAAGAGATGAATGTGGGAGTTATTTAGTATCAGTTTATATAAGAGAAAAACAGACCTATTGGGAAGTGGAGCAATAAATGCTAAAATTGAAGGAAGATGATGGAGAACTCCCGCCATAAAATTTTCTCCTATTTTTGACATTCCATGTGGACTTTTTGATTCCTCAGATCCCATAAAGACATTTTCTCCTTTCTTCCACAAACTTATATGTGCATGAGATCCAGAGCCAATATCATCTAGATAGTACCTATAAAATAAGAATTTTATTATGACTCCACAGTTACAATCATTTACGGAGGGGGGGGGGGATAGAGCATCAGTTAGTTTTGAGTCAACCAAACTACATTAACATAAATAAGAATATAAAAGTAAGATAAATGAAATGAGTCAGATATCCCCAAATACACCAGCAAAGAAGATAGCAGGTGAAACAAAAGAAATATTTGTGCTGCAGCCATATGTGAAAGGACATTTACTTTCAGAAAAATATCGTTGAGAATATTTTGGTATAACCGTTGTAAAGATATTTTCCTCAGATGGTAGTGAACTCACCGAATTTGCTTAGAAAATTTGAACACTTTTTCTTTACCTGTTGGCCAAAATTGTGTTTCGTAAAATGTAACAACCAAATAGTGTCAACATACAAGTATTTCAACTTTACCCAGTGAACCATAGAAAGTCATAGGAAGCTAATATAGAAAATAAACTTGAACAGTTACACAACAATGTCTATATTTATGTTTGCGATATAATGAACTAGAATCGATGCCAAATTTCAATATAAAGTTCACTTCTTTGACATTTTCTGGATTGAAAACCTTTCTTTACCGGTATTATTTCTCGAATTTTGAACCCAGATATTGGAGGGCCTTTCCTCAGCAACATGCCAGATAACAATTACGTTTTGATTGGGAAAAAAGGTTTCAGAAGATTTGTCTTAGTTTAAGTGAGAATGAGTTGAAACAAGACAGATTGACGAATCTGTTTCCGGAGCCATATCTTGATCAAAAGAGTGTACTGGTGAAGTACTCTCGCATGTGCTCATCATTAATTCATACTGCTCCTTTGATTGGCGGGCAATCGTTCCCAAGACCATGGTTTCTTCAAACTCTTCCTGCAATTTTTTTTTCTTTGAAGACCAAATGAGGGAGATAGAGAATCATATGATCCATTATTATTATTTTTCCATTATTTTAATGCAATGCTTCAAAAACTCAATTGCAGTCATTTCTTTTTCATCTTCCATTATTGTAATGCAATGTTTCAGTTTTGCTAAGTTTCTCAGCTAATGCGTCTGTATTAGTCAGTTTTTGTTTTGGTTTAGTTTCTCAGCTGATACGCATTGTTATTAGTCAGTTTTGGTTTAGTTTCAAACATCTAAGGAAGTCATAACAGTGGTACCAACATGGTGAGGAACTACAATTCAAATATGAGCTTGTTCAGGATAATCTTTAAAAGAAATTATTAAGACTTGTATTCAAAATCCCTAATCAATATTTGGGGATGAATTCAAAAATCATTTTGTGGTTTTCCACTGCAAATGTGTGTATACGACTACATGAATATGAACAAGTTATATGGTATATAATAGTTCCTCGAACTTAAGAATTAATTTGAGCTAGCATTTATGTGGGAGGAACCACTTAAGCATTGTTATAGTAGTGCTAAGGTAACGTATGGGAAGTTTTCTATGGCGTTAAAAATGATCATGCAGCTTATACTGTCAGGAAATATGTGGAACTAAAAGCCTCATATGGACACAAGTGCTATGAGGAGAAAAGTAGAATCTGCATTGTCTGACTGGCAGAATGTTTTATATATCAAGGACACTGAATCATAATGGAGGGAGTGTATTAACACCAAAATCCTAGATTAATAGTCATGGGATATGCACAAGATGGATTTTGTTGTACCATAGTTTCTATAATCTCAAAATTTAAGTGCAGAAAGCATTTTTATAGAGGAACTGTGGGTTTCTATAATCTCAAAAATTAAGCACAGAAAGCATTTTTACAGAGGAACTGTGGAAAAATTCATAGTTATTCATGCTTAGGAGCACTTTCAGATGGGATGTCATCTCCTAGGAAGTTGCCTTTGGGCGGTGAAATCAGTCATTAATATAATCATCTGTAAATTCCCTAGCTAATAACAGATGCCTAAATTCAATAAAACCCAGAACTTAACATTTTCTTCCTTTATACTTAAATTTGTCTACCCAAGCGTGTACACAACATCAACAGTCTAACCAATGGTGACTAATACTGAATATGTACAAGGAATAAGCTAGCCAAGAAGCTAACATATTGATTGGAAACTTAAAAAGCTGAGCTTACTTTGGGACAAAAGTCGCCACTACTCCATGCTTTCTTGCAACACTTCTTATAGTCTCACGAGCAAAGACCAAATTATCAGCTGCTACTATGCAGTCGGTATACCCAAGTGCTATTTCAAATTGTCCTTTTCCAGATTCTGCATGTAGCTGCCATGGTATAAAAGGATATATGTCCAATAGAAATTGTTAAACCCCAGTTTAACTACAAACCAAAATTGATAGAAGAGAAGTTCAAAAAAGTCAGCACTTCGGTTAATGTAACCGATGAGATGAATTCATGAAATATAGCCGTGAGTGGCTTCGTCTTTTATGATTCAATAATAAACACGGGCAATATGAACAACCAACAAGCAGCAGAAAATTAATATTTTGAACCTGTAACCACAGCATGAGTTGCATTGAAGGGGAAAATAACAAGTACAATGTTAACGATGTAGAAAATTCATCCGAAGAGGAGAGCATTGTTTGTGCAACAAGGTGATCTGATAAAGTTTCTAATTCTCAATTCTACAGTCAAGTTTCATTCTTTTTTTACATCTTACAAAAACATGGTTGTATTCCATGCATATTGCTCTGATTACGAGTGTCTCCGTTACTTCAACAAATAAATAACCCTATAAAGAATGGAAAATTATAGCTCTAGTATGCTTAAACAATTATTTTCTCAATTCTTTAAAAAACATTATTTTCTCAATTCATCTAAAAAACTATTATTTTTGCACATTTCCATGTATTTGAGAAAGCTTTGCACTAATTTTGGAGCCTGATACAACAGTTTCCGGCCAAGGTAGACCGAAATGGCGCTGAAACATGCAACAGAACAGACTTCTTGGGAGAAAAATTTGAATGCCTAGGAAACATAAAAAGGCTAAGCAGACCATCTCAGAAAATTGAAATTAATGTAAAAAAAGGCTTGTTTCATTTCATAGGTTCCTCATTTGGCTCTGGGCATGTGAAAAATTTATTTCTGGGATTTAGTGTTAAAAACATTCTCCCATTAGTTACGCAAAAAGTTATTATGTACTTTCACTTGTTTCATCAAAGAAGGAAAAAAAAAGGAATCAAATCAATCAATCGCCACTAATGTTGTAGGCATAAAGATGATCATTTCTTATCTTATAAAAATCCTGACTAAGTGATCTTCTTTTAAGTTCACCTATTTGCGTGTCATCAAACCAATTGAAAAAATATTCAATAATGGTCATGAATAAAGTGCAATACCTGCTCAACATAAATATTTAAGGATTGAAGAGCAGAATTGATTTCTAGTAAAATAGGGGAAGCAGCATCAAACGCTGAAGTGGAGCAGTAGAGCGTCGAATCAAAAGGGACAAACTGTTCTTTCCCTTCTCTGCAAATGACCTTTATGTGAGCCACACAGCTATATAAATGAACAAAAAAGTTGATTTGAAGTACTAATACAAAGGTACCTGTAAACACTCCTAAGAAGATAAAATTCATTTTCAAAGCCGGCTTTCAATACCTAGGCACACATCATATATATTAACAAAGAACATACTGGCTTAGATGTATATTACAGAGAATAACTTCACCATACCAGGTTAAATTCATCATTCAAAATTTTGGTGAATTTTTGTAAGGTACTCCTTGGGCAATATTCCCAAGCTTCACCAGGCCTTATTTGCATGTTAGCCAACACCATTTCCTCTTGCCTTGCCCTATTGTAGAAGAAAATTTTCAGGATTAGACAACATGATTTACACTAGCATCTCATTCATCATGCATAATTTGATACTTATTTAGAAAATTCATAGTAGAATCAAACAGTGAGCCAACTTCTGGGGGAAAAAAGCCTCTGCAAACAGACATACTTGATGAAGATGCAGCAGCTGCAATAACTGTAGCAGAAACAGTGTAACAAAGCTTTATTCCACACCTGTTAGGATAGGGAAAGCTACATGGATCCTTTTGAGATTCAACTGCATTATTAGCACTTCCTTGGTTAACTTAACAATTCTTTTTTAAACCTGTCTACAAACACATTCCTTAAGCTCTATCCCAAGTCATTAATACTTAATCTGTTTTAAGTATAAAATTAAACTTTCAACCTCACCACAACTTCGGAGTTTTGATGAGGTGCAAAGGACGTTAAGATAGTATCAAAGAAGTTCATGTTCAAAGCACACCGGACATGCACTTAAAGAAGATTTAAAAAAGCAAAAGTTACCGGTGTGTGAGCCTGGGTTTTAACCCATGAAGATGTAGCTCAGTCTGTAGGACCATGTTAGATTATAAAATTATAACCCTTGATCTTCACAACTTCAATGTTTTAATGCAGCGGAATTAACAGTACCATTGACTATCCTCATGTCGATACTCCTTACTGGGACACTTAAGTATTTTTTGGTGCAAATGCCCAACCAATTTCGGTTACACGCTATGTCATCATTTGAAGTTAACTACCTTCTTATGATGCAATCATTTCTTATTTGTGTGTGTAGAAAAATGATAAAATGAGAGGGTGAGCTCAGATTCTTATCGTGAGCTAGTCTATTCTCGAAACGATAATCAACACCGTCCACAGTGATTTGCATTCATCATGATCTGTATGTAGAAAAATTTATATTGTTTTGAAATTTTTAATCACTGTCTTAGCTATGTGTACAAAGGATGGCTGTTAAAGCTGCCTGAAAAATTAATATATCAAATTAGTTTGATTCATATTCTAGAAGGCTCCAACTCACGCAAAAATTTTATTATATACATTTGATGACACGTCGAACAAGATGCACGGTGCCGATCATGAATTTGATGAGCCGATTATTCTAGCTAACGATAAGATTTGAGCTGACCATCTCACTTATATATATATATATATATGAGATTAATGGGTATCATATGCCATATGAGGGGATTCCCTCGTATACAATGATGTGGCACAATCTCCATCAAGTTAATAAAGTAGGAGAGAGAATGCCTCATAACCACACTTAGTAGAGATTGTGCACATCATTGTATATGAGGGAATCCCCTCATATGACATATGATACCAATTAATATGTGTGTGTGTGTATTTGTGTATATGTGTGGGTGTGTATTGTCAACCCATTTAACAAAATGAACTGCCAAGAAAATTGGTGAGGTCCACACTCCTAGTAGAAGGATGGGCCTCACCATTGTTCAAATTCTTTATAGTCATTTACCAGGATGAACCTCATCTTTTTGACATATAACATTTCTCCGCCTCGCCCACTAGTTAAGCTTGAGCCTTTGAAATTCTTCTTTTCATATTTGAACTCCCATAAAAGACTGGAAAAAATGCTTTCGTGTTCAACATTTATATTACTATAAACAACCTAAGTTTAAACACATAGCACATTCATCAAAGATAAGTAAACATAAACTAGCGCAGGCAGCTTAAATGAAGGAATGAAATTCTCTAATGAATGACATAACGAGAAGGAATATTTTTGACATGACAAATCATAATGCTGACGGAAGTAACAAGAACCCAATACTCAGCTAGTTAGAGTGGTCTTGTTATTTTACTAAATGCGCAACCAAGAGATAGACTACTTGGTTCATCCTACTACTCACATCGGATAAGATGGACCTCACATTCCTATCTCTTCACGGCTCATTTTGATAAATGAGCTGCTAGTTCATACCAAATATCCTCTAAAAGAAATAGAGTTACCATGGAAGTCTATGCTTTGTTGATAAATCAGGAACCAATCTAATCTCCCCAGTTCCTGTTAGGTTGGTCCCAATTGCTGGAGAATCACAAAAAGAAGACATCCCCATGGATGCAAAAGTCAAACCTACACCAGTGTTCTTTACAACTTCATAAAATCGCTTTACTGGGATCACCTGAAAAAACAACAGTCATAAGCAATCAATTCACAGGATCAGATCAAATCAAAATTTTAATTTTCAGAACACATGGTACTCATAAGTTTTATACTATCAATAAGTTGTCACCAACTCTTGTCGCGTACATGATATTGTTAGCAATCTTGTATCGCCTCATCGAGCTATGCATATTAAGTTCTAGATGCATTTGCAGTCATTACACATTCCACATTAACCACAAAAAGAAAAGCACTATAATTGATATAGACATACAAAATATGCACTTATATCCTATGCATTCCAGGTATACGTATAATCCCTTGTCCATGAGACCATCATAGTAAGCTACCATATCCATAGACATGCTTCATGGTTAAGTACATTTGACTTGAATTGGAGATGCTAGTTATCGAAATGACCTGAGGT